CTTCCAACCCAAACCATTCCATGATTCTACTATCTACTAGAGGCAGTACCTCAGTATCATTATGCTTCCTCCTAATAACTCAAGATAATTCTGAGTTTAAGCTAATAAACTCATTTCATGAATGCACATGCACATAAGGCATAAGAATGGCTGACAAGGAGAGGTAGCAAGTTTAGTTTGTGTTCTATAGAATGACATTTAAAGCATCAAAACAACATGAATAAGCCTCTTTATATTCTTATTGAAAGTTAAATAGGAACTAGCTTTAAATTCATTTACTAAGATCACTACACTGTGAACTATATAGAACTCTTTACATCCATCATACACGTCAAGTATCAAATACATTTCAAAGAGAAATATATACAGCAATGATCCATTTAATTTCAGGAAAACATTTATTTTTCCTTAACATATGCAGAGATCCACTTGCAGAGTTAGGAAAAATAAGCATTTTTCCAACCCTTGAACCCACACTGATTACAGAATTAACTTTATTTTATGCAAGTCAGGCTACAGTTTCAGCATTATATTATGAACAAGTCTCACTTGACAGCAGGTGTTCAGTTGTATATTTTTAAATATTAGACTCCGCTTTCTCTAAGAATCTATTGTTTTGTGTATTCCACTTAACCCTGGACAGCTTAAGAGTAATAAACTGCATATGCATATCTTGGTAAATATTTATCTGGCTGCCAGCGCTCTCAGGAGTTAAATAGTTAAAAGCAGAATCAACCACACAGACCATAAAAACAGAAATAAGTGAAACAAATCCTAATATCAGACCAAGATGGAATCAACCCTTACTGTTGAGTGTTCAAAAACTGTATTTAAGTGGTAACACCAGACTAGCAGGGAAGAAACTTCCATAGTAGCCACAGAGAAGGGATTTACTGTACTCACTCCACCCAAGCCCAAGAATAAGGGCAAAGTTCTCCATTCAGTAATCTTGCCACTTCTATTAAGCAGCTACTGGAAATAAATGGGCTGGGGACACCTGGAGGAAGGGAAGCTTTACATTGTTCCATTAGCCTATTTAACAAGATAAACCCACCCTGCAAAGTTGCAGTTGGAGCATGTGGAGCATGGAGGAGAGAGAAAAATCCATGAAGAAGACAGAACTACATTGGACTCGGTAGTTCTTTTGTCAACTTAAGCTGTTTAGAGAGACTGTATAAATCAAACCATGGAAAAACAGTTTGTCAGCATTACATTGTCTTCTGTACTGCAAGAACTCTACACACTAAGCCACGATGTCTGCACAAGTTAGCCAAAAATAGCTGTACCTTAAAGTCCAAACTTATCCTTGCTGACTAGCCATTGTTGTCTTCTATAGTAATCTCTAATAGATACCTTTTGCAATTCTTGTTTGATAAGAAACATGCATGCTGCAGTAATACTGATGTGCCTGATCTCTCTGCAGATGAATTGTCTCAAAAGTCAAACAGTAATTGACTCCAGCTTAGCTAAACTCCCCAGTAATCTCCTTTCCCCCAATGCCTCGCTCTTCTGCTGCAGTTAAAAATTTTGCCAAGAACAGCATATTTCTTCAGAAACAAGATTCCCACCCAAAAGATACCACAGAAATAAAAAATTGCCCATTACACTGCTACTCTGCAGACATCCTCCCCATCTAGACCTACAAAAAAAAAATTTAATATTCTTAGAATGTTTAAATACAAGAGGAGGGAAAAATCTCAGAAGTCAGATGGTACTATTGTAGCCAACTTACTTTTCACTAAGGAGAAAAAAAACCCCAAAATAAAATCCCACTTATAGCACCTCAGAAACCATAATGAAGAAAATACTAAGTAAAACACGGGAAGAGGGAGAGAAAGAAAATGAAAATGAAGCCTTTGTTTTCAACTCAGGAAGAAGTGAATTCTCTTGTCAAGTCAAGTCTTCAAAATACTATGATATTCCAAAGTGCATCCCTGTCCTTAAAAACTTGTTGAGTATCATCTCCTCCTCAGCCAAGTACACTCCAAACTCTGAGAGAGTATCTTCCATTCTTTTCATAGATCTCATGTTTCCATCACCTAAACATCCTTTGAAAGGTTCCAGGCAAAAGCAATTCAGAAGACTAAAAGAAAGTTTGGCTTATACCTTAATTTCTGAGACTCTGTGTACGCTTAAGATCACAGGCAGCATATTTGGTTCTACTCTGAAATGTGAATACTTACTCTAATCAGCTTCTATGATTGTCAAAGCAATGTGAAGTCTTCAGTCAGTAAAATTAGCAGCAAGAACTATGAAGACAAGTTTGAACTGAGAACACAGGGGTTTTTTGTTGGTTTTTTTTTTAAGCACTAGTGTTGCATTTAAAAGACAAACCTCTAGTTGTATCTGGGCCAGCAGAAAGTGACATCAGCACATTGTTTGTTATTAATTGGATCAAACTTAAAAAAAACCCTAACACACGGAACTAAAAATTTCATACAGGTAATGACTGTTAGTATAAGAATTTTCCTGACCATGGGTTTCATTAATCGACTTTATGTCCAAGTTTGCCCCGGATGGAAAGAAAAGAGAAGAACAAACCATTAGCAAACAGTTTTCCACTTAAATACCAGTGTTTTTGTGCTTAGTGAAAACTGAGGGATAAACTTTTCTTGGGTTAAACACTCTTCAGTAGTCACATGATTTTTTTTTAACCTCACATAGACATCTTAGTTAAATCCTATAACTACCTGTAAAGATAGCTTGCTTATCAGTAAATTGAAAAATAATATTTTTTTTAAGTTACCTTTCATCTACATCCTGGAACAAACAAGTCGGTGTGTGTGTAGTTGTAAAAATTCTTTTGTCAGGAGGAATTCTGGGTGCTGAGAGAAAAATAAAAGCAGATTAACAAGTAGAATTTTTTTGTATACGTAGAATACTTCAAGCTACATGTTTCTATTAAATCCTGACTAAAGTCTAAAAGTCTGTCTAAGAGCACATAGGAAAGCAGCTTGCTAGCTCACAGCCTCTCAGCAAGGGCAGAGAACAGAACCAATTATCTTTCACTTTCACGTAAGTAAAACTTGAGATCACTGACAGCAATTCATATAACTGGCCTGCTTAGGCTGAAATTCAATTGTGCTACTTTGCATAGAAATTCCTGTAGCAGAACATAGAACAGTTCTTACTTTCAGGAAACCAAACTAGTCTTTGTGCATTCAAAGAATTACCTTCATAACCAGAATGTACTTTTTCTGCAAGCAATACACAGCAAAGCTGGTCCTCTGCTATTTCTGGATCTTGCACTTTGATAAGGTAAGGAGTCATCCGAAATGGGTGATAGCAAATCTCATTTTCACGCTCCTTTCCTGCACTAATAATTAAACAGAGTTAATTATTTCAACAGATTCATCTTATGCTAAATACATTTTTAATTTATGTATTGTAATTTACTCAAGACACAGGGACTGCATCATAGCTCCTATGACGTAATACCCTTCAGAGGGATCAGTTTATAGTTGTATTTTATGAAAATTGCTATATCCCTTCCTCAACATAAAGTCCTCCTTTTACTCAATACTTATCCCAATTTGAAAAGAAAAAAAAAGAAAGAAAACAAACAAAAAAAAGATTCAGAAATTCTTACTTACAGTAACAGTTGTTTACTTAATACAAATCCAAAGCACAATAATAAAAATAACAAACATTTACACAGTGGTAAAACCCCCCCCCCCAAAACCAGTTGTAATAAGTTTATAACAGCAAAGTTTTATAAAAGTAAAGCTTTTGGAGCCTATGTTAATTGGACCAAAAAAGTCTGCCACAACACCCACAGTACTTTTATAGTACACCCAATCCAACGCTCTGGAGTGCTGCGTTGCCTCTAATTTATTTAAAATTTAACTGTACCTTAATGATAAGTATTTATTTACTCCAGAAGTGATTAAGTAATAGGATCCACAATTAACATGAACTGAAGAGTTTCCATAGCAGTAGGAGAAAACCATATCAGTTTCCTTTATGGTGTGAAGGTCAATATTCACACTGATTAACTTCTAAAATGCAACTCTCCAAAATAATTTTGCAGCTTTCTCTGTAACTTCTAGGAGTTAATCAGCTAGAGGACATGCATATGTTTTGCCTTATGTTCACATTATGGAAAAGTCAGAAACTTATGTATCATATGGTTCTTTAAAAAAGTCAAATACTTTTGTAATGCATGGTTTCAGAATACAACACTAAGCTTTATAATATTGTTGTCTTACCTGATGCGACAGAAAAAAGATTTCTCTTCCATGCAATCCTGGGTGGAAGACTCTAGAAATATTAACCATATTTCATAAAAGTTACAAGTTACTAAGAGATTATGATATTTAAAACAATAATTTTTCCTTAAGTAGTAGTAAAGGTTGAATTCTTTAAAAAAATTTATGTTCCCTAAGTCCCTATATATATTTGCTGAACAATGTACTTCGTAAGCAACTAAATCTGAATACCACTCAGATTCTGAGGCTGGCCTGTGAATCACAGCTGCTTGTTTATTAACCCTTTTGCCAAAAACATATCTAAACAGTTCTCCAGTTTGAGCTGTTTACTCTTATTAGCTTTTCCACTGTATTTCATAGTGTTGACCAAAAATGTTTGATTATCTGGAACCCCAAAATTTGACCTTATTCTATAAAGGCACCAGGGCAGCTAGATCATCAAATCAGCTTATCTCCCTCCTGTCTCCAAAAGAAAGAGCATTTTTCATGAAGGCTTCTTCTCACCTTTTAAGCCTATTTCCTTCCTTTTCCAGAGCAGCCAAAGACTGATTTTCAAGGCAATCTCTGGTCAAGGCCTCAGCACACAATACTTTTGGATATTATATTCTATGACAGCTGACATATGGGATAGTGTGCATAGTTCCACTTACTGCTTTTTTGAACACAGAACAGAATTCTATGTTCAGAATTCACCACTGACCCTGTTTTGAGACAGAGGTTGGAATACAGACCTCACAACATCCCTTCAAACCTGCTTTATGTATGCATTACTTAGTATATATTTATTGCCAATTGTTTTTTCAAAATAAATATGGTTCACACTCTGACTTAATAGACTTGGTATACAATGGATTGAAGTTTCAAACATTTAGAGTAGACCTTGAATTTCAAATGTTTAGTCAAAATAGTTGGTAGCTATTTCTCAATTTCTAACAGCTGTAGCTACACCAGTAAAACAATCCTCTCACAAACAAATATCAAGCACCCCAAGACATCTCATCCTTCACCATCAGAATGCCTAACATCATTTTTCTACAGCTAAAAGAAGAGAGATATGATTATACTTGGTGAATGCACAGTGATGGTAGCTGAAGTTCATCTTTCTACACTGTAATCAAGGTGTCCAGTATTCAAATCATAATCATTTTAGAAGGAAGGAGGCAGAAAATTGTCCCCCTTATATATGAAGAAAATAAATTTTGAAGAAAAACTGTGGTCACTTGATTGCTAGTAAAAGTAGAAAGTAAACCCACTATTCAGGATAAATACCTACTTGGTTTTCATTTATCTCTTTCATTTCTCATTTCATTTCACTTCTTTGGATGAAAGGGGCATGAGAACCAATAAATAATGATATTCAGAAGACTTTTGGCTAACAGACAAGTCTTGCTGATTTATAAAAGTGTGTTATACATCTAGTATTGTTCACAGATGTTCTAATAATGCATCTGTGTTATACCCTCAAAAAGTCATGGAAAAGGATGGAAGAATATTAAAAAACAGTTCAAGGATTTGCATTTGCATGACTGAAAGAAGGTTAGAGAAGTAACTGCTGTTGAGAACACTTACCAGCTCTATTGCAAATATTCCATGATGGTAATCTGTATGGGGTAGTAGAAGTATAGAACACACTGACATCCTGAGGTGCCAAGAACTCCACAAATTTGGCATTTTTAAAATAACTTCTCTTACAGCGGAGAATAGAAGCAGCTTGATCAGAGATGTACAAAATTTTCCCAGAAATCAAAGAAACAGCTACCGCAAACATATCCTAAAACCAAAAATCTCAAATTATTTAGACAGTTTAAAACATTCTTCAATGCCGTATGTATTTATTAGAAAACACATTTAAGATATAAAAGCATTAATAAGTTCAAAATAAAAATTAAGGAAATAGTGTTAAAGTTTAGGGAGCAGTAAAATAAAATTAATCTGCTTATGAAGTAGACACAGACAGTACACTTTCTGAACTATGCAATAAGAATAATACACTGGCATCTTACCGGGTTAAAAACCCTAAATATCATTGCCTAAAATTTTGTGATGCAGAATTAATTCATGAATTAAGAATTAAAGAGGTTCCAGATATAGAACTGCAGATTTTCCTTGTGTTTGTTACAGGCATACTTTGCATTTCTGAAACTCAACTGTTTTGTGAAAGGCTGTTTATGTTAGCTTGTCCATCCACTGCAAAATGAAAAAAAGTGCTCGAAACCACTTGGTAAAATAATGAGTAGACAGGTTGGGGGGAAGAAGAAAAAAAAAAAAAAAAAAAAAAAGTCCCACACAACCATATACACACTCCACTTGTATCGTTTCACGTTGTTCTTCTTCTTGACATGGAAGAGCTTCCTGCATCATAAACTTCTGTGCGCTGTTGCTAACACTGTATACAAACTTAAGAGCTGTCGTCAGAACACTGGTTTCACAAACTCAGATGCTTCCGATCAAATGAACAATGTTTATAATATTTGGCTGAAGTTCTCAGTTGTACTCCAGACTTCCTTTTTATTTTAGCTTGTGGGAAACCTCTATTATTCATAGATACAACAAAACCCACCTACTTCAAACTAGATAACATCACCCATCATGCTATTATTTTACTGATTTCAGAACATCATACATTCAGGCAGAGGCTTCAGGAAAAAAAAAAAAATAGTGGAAGGTAGTCTAATAAGTTTAGATGCAATTGTTTTTTTGAAGATTCCATAATATATCCCTAAAACACTGGGAATGTGGAAAATAAATAATAACGTAAAAAAAAAAAAAAATCAGACTATCATTTTACTGCTAAGAACTACACTGATTGACATAGCTGTTCTTATCTAGATGAGAAGACACAGTATCATTGGATATCACAGTAAGCCTCTACCAGCTGCAAAGACTAGACAAATACCACACAAGAGGGCACAACACACAGCAATTCCAACACTTTCATCCCTTTTCAGTCACACTAACACAAAGAACTGGTGAAACATCAAATAACTCCTACTGATAAGAATAAGATGAAAGAATCCTGCATGCTTTGACTAAAATTTGGAAAGAGTTACTCTCCAATTTTAGCAAGTGTTCTAAGATGAAAACTAATGATGTCTCACAGTGTAATATATGACATGGATGTTGAGATATGTTATACCATCATCTTTAAGCATGAGCATGATTCATAGGATCAAGGAGTTTAGACTACTTATCTCCCACTTAACTGCCATAAAAAAAGCTTAGATCAAGGTGCTATTGACAAAGGTCTGAAGGCTGAGAGTTTCTACTCAACATCTCATGGAAGGCAAAAGCCAGCTTCTTCAGCTTATTAGCCTAACTATCAACTCTTACCTTGTAAAAAGAAGGCATGCCTGAGAATTCCAGTTCTAGAAAACATTTTCAATACACACTGTAGGCTTAGGTCACCATACTCACTGCGTTTTTCATGATGTATTCTGAGGTTATAGTCTCAACTTCTTCCACTGTGTATGATGACACATTGAGTCCAGCAGGCTGGGATTCATTGATCATCAACAATTGGTAATACTCCTCATTGGCTACATGAGAACATTAAACGACTTATTCAGAATTTTAAATCTCATCAATAAGCATCCAGCTTGGAAGTACTAAATCACCAAAATCTTTTTTGGCATAAGCACAGAATGAGCAGTTGGGAAATCTAGGTACTACTCCAAATTAGTCTTTCCTCAGTAGAGCTTCCTCATCAGTAATCCAAATAAATTTACCCATTTTAATATACGCATAAGTGTGATCATATATGTTGGTCTGTTTGACAGCTCAAATAGTATGAAATTGTAAAGCGTTTTCAAATTAATTTTCTAACTAAACAAAATATCAGTAAAATATCAGGCATCTAGAGAGCTGCTTTACCTCTCAAAAGAACCCAAGTTAACAGAACCAACAAATGGGAACACCATGAAAACATCTCTTTAGAGTGCTTTTCAAACATCATAAACTTAGCTTTTCACAGAACCACATTTAAATTCTTATTTTAAATGTTTCATTTTATCCAGGGTGGCATTATCTAGGTAGTATCATACTTGATTACCTTTAACTTGTTTAATGCTTTTAAGGGCGTATTTCAACGTCGTTAGGACACTAGATTTGCCTTTAATTCTCTTTTCAGAAGGAAGGTGAGCTTTCAGCTCTTGTAATGTTTTCAGCAATTCCTTTTGTGTTTTGGCTTTAGTGGACTGCTCACTACTGCAAGATTAGAGACAAAAAATAAAATGTCACTTGAATGCTTGAAGTGACACACCATCCTCATAGAAGCCCAAATATACTCTGACACTTGTAACGTACCTAAATTTGTACAGCTAGCTACATTAACTTTTCCAGTACTTAGTATCAACATTCAGTACCTACAATAATTCTTAAATTAGCTAGAATCATTTAAAATGAAAGATTTACCACCACCTGAAGTCTTATTGTAAAATGTACTCTGTACGTGCATATGTGCATATACCCAAACACCAGAGAACTTTTTTTTTTTTGCCACAGTCTCCCTCCTCCCTTTTTAGTGGTATTTTCCTTAGTTCCTTTCAAATTCAAACTCATAGAAATGTTCATGGACTTCAAAGGAGAGAAGCAGGAGGTCCACTCAAGTCTTCACCTCCTGTTCGAGCAGGTTCTCATAAGAAAGGTCCCTGAAAAGGGAATGGCAGTAGGAGAGCATCAAGTTAACAAAACAAACTGAGAAATCCTTGGAACAACGTATTCCAGTTAAGCATGGCAATATATTAAATAAGATAAGGAAACTTGACTAAGTAGGTAGGATTAAGATCAGAGAAGGCTGGAGACAGAAATTGTATTCACATTCCTCAAGTGCATGTTCAGAAGTGCTGTCTCAGTGTAGAAGGTCAAACTACAGAGATTACCAGTGCCAACATCAGAAAATTATTGCCTTCCTTTGCAGTTCCTGATATCTCTCCCCATTATTAAGAGGTGCTGACAAAATGAAAACGGAAGAGAAAAGGAGCTAAGGGAAGGAGGGGGGAGGATGACAGAGATTGTGGCAGGTGGGTAGGAAGTAGTTAAAATGAAAAATTACCTTGCCTTTCTCATTGGAGTAGATTTTAAAAACTAATCAGTCGTAACAAGAAGATTCTAGAGTTTTTCTTGAACCTTCCTGAAAAGAAATTCTTCCCCATCAAAAGGAAGGTCTTCTCTTATCACTCGATTGTCATGGCTGGTAGTCTCTAAGAAGCTACCCTAAGAACCACTGTAGAAACAATAGTCCTGGCAACTGCACTGCCCTGTCTGAAGTGTTCAATAAAGTGGTTTCAGCTTCGAGGTAATTTTCAAGAGGATTTCTGAACATTTTTGAGGAAGTTTGAAAAGTTCTTCAGGTAGATCAATCATCTGACAGGTGTTGGGTGTATTTCACCAATAATGCTTTGAAAGTAACAAAGCTGGCTTGTGCTAGAGAATACACATTGTTCCTGCTTACAGGAAAGTACTTTGAGAAACATAACATTCACTTAATCAGTGGTCATTTTGTACTGACAAACAATGGCAAGGGATAAGACAAAAGAGTATAGTACTCCCTTGGGAAACATTATGTTCATGCTGTATATTAAAATCACATCTACAATGTGGCTTAACAGTGTGGACTGATGCAATCAACCAGGGCCTTATTAATAGAAGGCTCCTCTAGGCTGGAAGTAGGGAAGAAGAGAGACTGAAAAGATTATGAAATAACTGAGCGTACTGCTGTTTTTGTACTCTCTGAGTACGCTTCCTGAGAGAGGTCAGACTCTTTTGCAAGGAAAGAAACCTTTCCAAATTAGCCTATAGCAGCAGCAAATCTATATTTGAAGATGGGCCTCCTTGGAAAATAAGTTACACAACTCAAAAAAGTTTTGCCAAAGATCAGTAGCATCAGGCACAGCAGCCAGCCACGGGGAAGGTATGACTTGCAGAGGACAGAATAAGCAACTTAAATAAAGACAGGAGCTTTCCATTTTGCTTGATGTGGACAGTAACTGGAAAGGTACCTACAGATACTAAATTAAGTAGTTGATTGGTGTCAATCCAAAGCCCAGCAGTCTCCAAATTGAAGATTAAACCTATAGCTTATCAGTCTATTTTAGTCTTCTCTTTAAAGATCATTCTCCAGACATCCTCAGTCTCCCATTCCCAAAAGATGATCAGATTCTGCTCTGTAGCCCTCTAGCACTGTACCTGACAGCTGAGGAAAACACAGTACCATCTGGATTCCTATTTTTTTCTGAGCAGAGAGGTATTAATGAAATATAAAACAAATAGGTACCAGAAAAACTGTAATAAGTAACCCCCAAAAATCTTGGGTGAAGGAAGTGGAATCAATGAGAAAGGAAGATTAAGAAATGCCTTTGCTTCACTCTGTCTTTCATACTAAGGAACATGAAAACCAGAACACAATTTCCAGTTGAAAATATAGCATGGAACAAGATCTCCAGGTGCCTGCAAGGCAGGCACAGAAAATACATTCATCAAGTACCAAATGGAGTAAAGGGATAATTTCAATTTACCACTTCTCTAGGAAGTGCTTCAGGCAGAAAACACTTGCAGGTAGGTACAAGTATCATCAGTATGCTATAGCTAGATATCCTTGATCTGCTCAGGATCAGGTTCTGGTCTCCTGATCCAAAAAAACGGACTTTAAAAACTGAACAAGTACAGCAGGGCACTTTGAAGTGTCCAGATTTGAGCCATTAATGCCACTGGTTTTCTCAAGGCTACCAGGGTTAGAAGTAGAGTTCATACAGAGGGATTCCTGCAGCTGATGTTGGCTTATGCTTACAGACTTGAAGCTTGAATCCTGGCAAATGGAACACAGGAGAGGCAGATGATATGGCTGCTGGATATCAGAATACATCCAATTTAAGGGGTGAATTCTGATGTTAAAACGCTACTAGGCTGTCCCCAGGCAAGGGCTTCAGACTAAATTCTGAAGAGCAAGAAATTTAAAGAAAAGCTTAAAAAAAACCCCCAAACAATCCTCTAGAGTTGAAGCAATATTCAAAGTGAACCACACTAAAAAAATTACAGAGTTAAGCTACCAAATCAAAACAAAGTAAGATGACTTGAAAGGTTATTGCACAACTTGCATGGAACAGCAATAAAAAGCTCTGATTCAACCAAGTGGCTAATAGGACATGCTAACAATTATGGATAGAAAGAGAATCAGAGATAGGATTTCTTGTGTACTCCCCTAGGTTTAGCCAAAACAAAATAAAAAACACCACTAGTTTTCAGCATTTAGAATTACATACATGCAAATTACCAAAAATATATGCACATTAATTTACCTGCATCCACTGCTAGACTGATTGTGTTCAGAGTTTGCAATCATCAGACTAAAAGCATTTGAGCTTGAACTAGAATAAGAAAAGATAGAAAGAGATTAATAATATTAAACTTAAAACCAAACTTCAAGTTCATTTTAGCTTTATATTTTCCTATTAATGACTGGCTATCTAGGGTGAAAAAAAACAACCAAACAAAACAAAACCAAAACCCACAAAATTTAAAAGCTCCTGCCTGGTACAACAAATTGAAACTATAGCTGTTACACACTTGTCTAAGAAGGTTCTCCTTACTGTAGCTTTGCTCTGTACACTAAACAGTCATTTACAAGATTAAAATAGCACAGTTGCATCCTTACACAAAACCAGACAGACACTTTTTGATGTACAATTATAGAAGTTGGTTTACAGTAACACTTTATAATGTAGTTATTATTCAGAAATTAGGTTCAAATGGAAAAAGCCTTCAGTGACAAAACTGAAAGTTAAATTTATTTAATGTTAGCTACTACCTTTTATGACAGTCTGAAGATTCCATGAGCATTGCTGAATCTTTCCCATTTTCATCAGATTCATGGCCATGAGAATCATGCCCACTCGAGTAGTTTTCATTTGTGTCATTTCCACTGAAGTCATTTCCACTGGATCCGCTGCTCATTTCAATATCTTCCTGAAGAACTTCATGAGAGCGTTCAGGCTTCGTCTGAATTTCTGAATCTTCAGCAATCATCTGGCTATGGTTATTTGCAAGTCCAGAATAATCACTCATTTTCTGGTGCTCTTTTAAAGAAAAAGACGAAGAAATGTTTTCACTGATGCCAAGTTCCTGCTCAGGGTTCTGCTCCTCAGTGCTAGAGTAGAACCCTCTTAACTTGATAGAGCCCATGGGACACTC